TAAAAATGAACAACGCTGGGTGTCAGCACATATTTTGAGTTAGGAAGAAAATCATGGGTTTAAAGCATACAATAAGCGTTTGCTACTTCTCTTTTGATCATTCCTGCAGACTGACAAAGAAGGGGGTCACACAGAGTTCACAGTATGAGAAAAGAAATATTGCATTAGTCCTTGCTGCTTTGCCTGAGATTCCCAGGTGTAAATCAGATGGAGCCAATCAATGCTACATCCAGTGATAAAGACTCAGATGGGAGAAGGGGCAGCACTCCCAGAGTGTTGTCATTATGTGTTCGTCATTAGAGGTTCACATGTGTGCTCAACATGCCCAGACCAAGTGTACTGGGTAGGCATGACAACATGTGGCCTGGGTGCGGTCTCAAACCTTTGTTACTTTTATTTAGATGATTCTCTGCCAGCCTGCCTTGTTTGACCGAATCAACCGATAATTGCTTAAATATGTCACAATAAAGAGATTGTTATGCACAGCTAAGCGGCTGAGCGACACAACTGGAATGATCTGCATATAGTTTGTTTTTTATAATTACTCCAAGGACAACTAAACATGTACATCTACATAAAACAGCTAAAACAGTAGACAGACTATATATTTTTAAATTATAACCAAAGTCCAGAACTTTTTTTGTGAGTTTCACACGAAAAGGACTCTGAGGTTTTCTAGTTGGGCTTTCAGGGATTCTTAATCCCTTTGCATCCTCCAGGTCAGCCAACCCGTTCTAACGATTCTCTCTTTGTACTCAATCACTCTCGTTTTTCTTTTCTCTGATGCTCAACAGCTGGCTGCTCTTTCCCTCTTTTCCTGTGTCGTTCTTGATGTCTGCTCCTCCCCCATCCCTTGAACACACACTGTTTCTCATTGTTACAGATGACAGCGAAGATAACAATACAAAGAACCACAACTCACTGCCGGAGTTTGAGAAAAAGACAAAAAGTTGGTGAGACAGGGAGAGAGAGCGTGAGACTTCCTTGAGGTGACAGGATCACAACAATCAAACAAACATAAAAATGTTCACCTAACTTTTTTTGCATTTTAGTTTTTGTGCAGCTCTTCCTCACTATCCAAGGTTTTATCAGTTTCATTTCCTTTTTCGACTCTTCAAGCTGCAGAGGAAGAAGCTTTCAGTTAGTAGTATTCAGTATTAGAACATCTACACATGCATACATGCCACTTATGTTTCCCCATTTGTCTGCTATGTTTTTAACTTCTTTCATATTCTACACTGTTTGTGGCCTTTCACAAGAGGGAAATAAGGTAGTCAACCTCAAAACAACCCTCCTCCTGTTGACCTTTATGTGTTGTTCCTGACAACCCAGCTTTCAGTTCAGCTGAAATCTGTATGGTGTGCTGTCATTTTACAGATCTAGCATGCAGAGCTGTCACATGTTAAACAGGTTTTTCTGACAAATTTGTCCACGTAGAAGAAAAGAGTGTCAATAATAAAAGCTTTTTTGTTTGTTTATGTGTTTTTAAATATAATAAAACTCCATGTTGTAACTATGGAGGTGAAGAAAAAAACACACCTCTTCAAAGGCATCGCGTTACACACACCAGTTGTCTATGAACTATCTGAGGTATGTTTTTTGTCCGGGTGAATACTCTGTGAACAAACAGAATAGAAACAGTCCTCCTATTTTCTTTCTTCAGTGAGTTTTAAGATGCAAAAGTTAATGCCTAAACCTGAGAAAGAGTTTTTCCAACCCATTCCTCTGTGATAAAGGCATTAAGTAAAACTGGTAATGAACTTGGAAAACATTTAAAACAACAGATGCACCTAAAAAACTTTACCCTACTCAGCCTGGAATGGCTAGGTGCTCTTATTGTAGCTAGACATAGTAAATATATCTTGACACACCTTGACATAGAAGAGAGCCAAGTTAAACTTTGGAGAAGATATAGAGTTCGACTAAACAGGGGATGTGGAAAAGAGTTTAACTGAACCTACCCAGTGGAACTATTATAGAGGAAATGGAAATCCTGCAGGTGATGCTACAAGAGAGCTTAGTATCAGCAAGCTGAGAGAAATTTTACTGTGATGGACTACTCCAATGTTGCTCAAGACAAGAAAAATTACTTGGAAAAACCAATGAAATCCATGCTGTAAGAGGACTTGTCTGCTGTGAAAACGGCAAGCCTGACAAGTTCTGGAAACCAAGTATTTTTAAAGTAATTTTAAAGTAATTTTGATTATAAAGATTTAACTTTTAAGTGTCATTTCAAGTATTAAAGATTGCTCCAAACCTCTGATTTAAAAAAAACTTTTTTTTTAAAACTTAATTTACCTGCATTTTAACCAGATTTTCATATTTAGTTTTACTTTTGACTTCACCTACAATTTCATTCTGGTTTTCAAGATTTATTTAAATTTAAAAGTAGTAGAAAATGGGTCAAATTTAATAACTGTTTACTGTTGATTTTCTTTAGTTTCCAGCTGCTGTAGGTCCATCTATTAGAAGCAGTTTGCTTTAGTGATATAGAGAAAAATTAAGAGAAACCTGTTTCACCTTCAAGGTTTTCTTGTATTTAGGGATGTTAAGCTTTGTGTGTGTTTTATCTTATTTTATTTTGGTCTGTTGGTTCCTCTCAGTAATCTGCTGTAGCTACACGTAGACTGAATGTAACAAAAAGCAACACACAAAGTATCAAAACTGATGTTAGGAGATTTATCTTATTAATGAAATTGGAAAAAGCCAAACTATCTCTTTAAAGTCTATTCTAAAGTTTGCAGCATTAAAGCTATTAATGATAAGAAATATTTCTCACTTGACAGATTTATTTAAATTTAAACGTGGACATGCCAAAACAAACAAAAATGCAATATCTACCTCTAGAAAATGTTAGTAATACATGCTAATAATAATTTACTGACATGGATAAAAACTGAATGCACTAGAAAGGTTTAGACTAGTGAAAAGGTTAGATTTGAAAACAAACTAAAGTAAAATTAAAACACATGAGAAATATCTTTGTCAGTTTGATTGAATTTGTTAACACAACAGAAGACTTTAGTGCATGTTTGAGACATGTCTGTACGTCATAAAGGCTTAAAAATACCACTACTGTCATAACAAGCGCTGAGACTGTTAATCATGAAACTAATAACAACTAAACAAAAATCAACATTTGAAACAATATATTTTAAACCTTTAAAACTGTAAATGCTAAAAGCCCCTCTTCAAATGAAGCTGGACTAAAACACTAAAACACTAAAAAAGTAGTAATAGGGTAATAGTACTGCGCTACTATTAGTAGTTATAGCAGCACAGTAGCATATATATATATATATATATATATATATATATATAGATAGATAGATAGATAGATAGATAGATAGATAGATAGATTAACAAACTTTATTTTTCTGTTTAAACACAAATATCCCATTTGCCCTAGTGTGTCTGAGTGGCATACATGAAGACTGTAACATAAGACTTTGGTTGTTCCCACAATAACGGACATTAATGAAAGGTAAGTAGATAATTAAACTAATTAAGCTAAGCCATCTGAACATCTGGATAAAGCTACAAGTGATTCTAAAACCTTTTAAATGGTTCAGAATGTTTTTTGTACCGGTTTTGTAAACTTATAACTGATACTCACATTACTGTGCTTTTAAACAGCAAATGTGTAGGCAGGTGCTCTGACTTGCAAGCCTTTGAACCTGGATATGCAGTATGTTCCTTTCACTTCCTGTTTGATTAAGTTATGCACCAAAACTACTTGATTCTCAGTATTGCCAAGAATACTGACAAATGTACAGGGTACGCCAGAAGTGACAATATTTAATTCATACAATAATTATCACATAAATATAACATTATTTACATTACTTCATTTTTAACAGTGTAGTAAATATAAACACTTTCCCTCAGAGTTTCTCACAGTGCTTATTTCAACATGTTACTATGTGAAACAGACTTTTATTTATAAGTGCAGTGACTTGGAAGACAGACAGAACTTGACAGTATCTTTCTACTATTCATTTCTTCTTATTTCATTATTATTGGCTTTATTTATATAGTTATTCATCTTGCCTTTCTTATTTTTTCATTCTCTTTCACAAATTTTTACCTCTGGGCTTACTAAAACTGTGCACACCTACAAACACTCCCTCAAGCACATTATCAGATACACTTATTCTGTTCAATAAGTGTTGTTTTTGTCCTGTTTTTGCATATAAAGCAAAAAAAAATAAATCATTTCATGACTGAGTATTTTCATTAACTATTAATTTAAAACTCTTTTTTAAAATAATTTTTGGGGCAGAGTGCCTTCATGATGTAACTGATGACTGTGTAACTGGACAGCTCTGCAGCTCCACCCATCTACCTTATCAACCTCCTGCAGAACTCTGATGTTTGCTCTCTGTGACTTGACACCCCACCTCATCGCAGAGAACTTCTGCCCAGAAATTATCACACACCAAATGCTCAGTGGTTACATCATGCAGATGTATCGTCTCTGTCTAGCTTTCAGTCGAATGCTCAGCCATTTCTGTGTAGCTGGACGGGACAATGATGTCCTGGTGGTTCCCCACCATCCCTCCTAAGCTGTTTATCACCCATCCCCACTAATGTAAACCGCCCATCTGTTTTAAACAAAACACATAAAAACACACATAGTCATTTCCCACTGTGCCAGACCCTGAAAGAAGAGATTGCTGGGTATTCTGGTGGCAAGCAAATCCACTCCAGATGTGAACAAATTGTCCCCCTTACTAATTGCTATTGTGCTTGCTGATGCTGATTTTGGATCTCTTTGGTTTGTGTAGATGGGTGTGTGAGTGCTTGCCACAATACGTTAAGTTTAGAGGTGCATGTGTACTTACAGAGGAGCTTGAGCGTGCGTCTATATGAAGCTGACGGTGTTAAAGTAATAGCTGTGAAGTAAAGCGTGCTAAAGGAAGGAGGTAAATCAAGATGACACTGCAAGATCAGTTGGAGAACAGAACACTGGTATACCCTGCCATAAACAGAGCCACATGTTTCTTCCCAGAGCCTGATGAAGGCTTTATTTAAGGGAGCCCATTGCTTTCTTCTGTCCTGTCATCAGAACTTCTCAAAGGAAACTTCTGGCTTCCTCGTCCCTCACAGTGCATCTAATCAGGACTGATTAGGTGTGTGGTAGCCAGAAACATGCAGGGGAGTGGTGGCTGCTGCTGTGCATGTGAGGGCTTTTCCTGCATGGTCTACAGGGCTGAGAAAAAGACAGAGGAATCAGAGGATGTCATGTTGTGGCATTTCATAGGTTAGTAAAAATTGCTCCACAGATGTAAATAACAGCCCACCACGCAACAACTGCAATCAACCTGACTGCGGTTGCAGCAAACCACACTGTAATCCAAATAAACAAACAAAGGCATAATGAAAGAAATCTCACTGTTTATGCCAGGAAATTGCCTCACCTCATCCATCTTCAGACCTTCTGTTTCTCTATCATCTATTCTTGTCCAGTTTCTGTTTGCTTTATAGGATCCTAACAGAAGAAGCTGCAGGGGGAAAAACAACCAAAGCGGTTACATCAGATCCCACCAAAGGCAGCGTGGTCAGCTGAATTTAGTCATACATTAGTCGTACCACAGGTAAAATCTGTAATGTATAATCTTTGTGAAAGTACAACTGATGGTAGCAAAATATACAGCTGATGTCAAAGAAAGTCCTACAGCCCAGTCTGCAAAAAGTTCACAAACACAGAATGCAGTTAATCTGTTAATTTTGTATATAATGAAAATAAATGTGCAAAGACGACGCAAACTGCTTATGAGAAATATCCTTTTTTATTTTGACGCCAGAAACACATTTCAGAAAAAGCTACAACAGTGGCATGGTGTGTTGCCTCATTTTTGTTTTTGGGTTGTCTTTTTGTTTCAATACAGTGGTGTGCTGTCACCTGACAACAAGATGGTTCCTGATTCAAACCCTTGTTGGTGCTCTTATGAGTGCAGGCGCTCACTGTGCCTACATGAGGTTTCCTCCTGTTAGTCTGACACATGCTCGTTAGAGACGTTGCTGATTCTGAATTGGCCGTGAATGTGAAGCTGAGAAAATGCTTATATGTGTGTTTAGTTAAAATGTCATCTGAAGCGTTTTGCTCAGTAAGACTGCAAATGTACTAAAAAATACAAGTGCATTACTTTGTTAGGGTTTTTCTGGGGTCTTTTAATGTTACTACACATGGTGAAGTCTACCAGCTGTTCATGTTTTACATCGAGATGTTGTTCTTTAATTGTTAAACTATTTGCTTATGAGATTTTTTTGTGTAATGAACCTTTGCTACTTTTAACTTAAAGAAGACCCAACCTCTTTAGGACATTCTTTTTCTACCAAATCACATGTTAATAACCTGTTTGAATATCCTAGTGGTTATTAAGTAACCTATAGGTTCTTGAAGTGATCTTTAAAGCATCAGTTTTCCTGGGTTTTCACCACCTTTTTTAAAATCCTTTTTGCTGGAATTAAATCCAAAATTAACATTTTTTCCTAAATTTTATATATTTAAAGATTCAGTTTGATTTAATGTTTATTTACATTTTTAAACAGATCAATTTTTTAAGACACCTGCTCCTTAAGTGGTTAAAGTAAAGAAAATAGGGCCCTCTTAAAATGGCACTAATTAGTTTTAAGTCACAAGTGCTTGAACTCCAGCTGAAGTGCCTAATTCCCACAAATATTTATCAGACTAAGGCAATTTTAATTAACAGCCTGGTTGGAAAATCCTTGAATATTCTGAGAATATTACCTAGAGTGTAGTATTTGTAGTTTTTGGGAGATAAAAAATTCTCACAACTTCCCTACCTCATGACCAGCGGCCCTTGGCCTTTGAGGGTTTAAATTGTCCAAAAATGGAAGATTTTCCTAGTTTTTTACATTCAAAGCATTAAAACCATTATTATATCCACAGATAATTTCTACAACTGTAGCATCAGGTTAAAGAGAATTCTTCATTAAACAAACTTTAATGAAGAATTATGTACTTTCTTTTGGCATTCAAAAGAAAGTACATAATTTCATCCAAAGTACATACTTGTCATTGCTTTTGGACAGTTTCAAATTGTTACACTTGGTATTCAGAGATTAATTCATGGAACGTCTAGGCTTAATTTAAGAATAAAAATGTCCAATATGAATAGAAAAAAATGGGTATAAAAATGCAATTATTTCCTTCCTTATGTTATTTATAACTTCCTTATTTGTCTATTTTTAAATCTGAGCTTTCTATGTTTGTCTGAATATTTTATTAGTATCAGTTGCTTAATTGTTTTAATAATGAAAAAATCTTTAAAATAATTATACAAATGTGGTTTTATTGAATATGCGTTTGTTCTATTAATTGTTGTGAGAAATTTTAATTCCTACAGATCTTGTGTTGACAGACCTGCTTTTATTTGTCTAACAGTTAAATATTTAACTCCCCCCCCCCCCCCCCCCCCAAATAAAAGTCTGCTTGAATACAAAAAACCGACCTGACTCTTTAAAGTAAACTTTGAAAAACAAAAAACAAAACAAACAAACGAACAGAAAACAAAACATCTCAACACTATTCGTGTTTAAAGAGGTTTTTAGCCTGTCTGTTTTACATAAACGAGTCTGCGACGTCAGGTACAGATATCCGGTCCGATCCAGTGGAGTAACATTTAGGTCCGAGACAACAACTTACAATATAGGCTTATTATAAGCAGCTTCTTCTTTAAAAAACGGGGGAAAAAAGTGGTTCGGGAAACAAAAAGCATCATCATCGTCATCATCATTTCCGCAAGCTCTTTCCAGCACACCGTTGTAGTAGGTACGTCTATTGTAGTTGTGCAGCACAGCAGCCCCGAACAACAAACACTTTCTGCCCCGCTCCCCTTTATTGAACAAGCCGAAAGGCTTTTGATGCTTTCATGTTCTGTCGGAAATTTTTCAATTTAGACTAATTGCCCATGAAAATCCGAATAACAGGATAAGTGCATTCTGCATGGTGATGTATTTTTTATTTTAATTGTTCACTGGCCAGTCAGCACCTAAATGCAAGATTTTGAATCATGTGTTTCTGTTTAATAAAAGCATTTTGCACTTCAACATGATGCAAAGGCTTCGGAATAAGTTGAATCATTTATGCAATTCAAAAATTACACAAATATATGTATTGATCTTTAAAAACACTATTTTATTTTTTTGTATGAAAATAGAACATAAGAACTTAAATGCCGCATTATTGAAGACACCCCTTCTCATTTCACTCACTCCGGCGCTGTGCACAAACACGTTCACCCTGCGGGCTCGGCGGTGGGACCGTTGGCAGCCTGTGGAGGGGCTGGGAAGTGGTGCCGGAGAGGCAGTTAGGGTGATGAGGAAACGAGTTGATGTGCCCTGGAAGTAATTCTTTCACCCTTCTCCCCTCCCCCTTCCCCAAAGGACACACAAGATGGGAGAGAGAGCAACGGGACCACCACCACCACCACCAACCACCGGTAGCCTTCAGCACGTGGGGACCCGGGGTGATCATCCACATTCCAGCTTGTGGGCTGGAACTCCTACTCGTTATCTGGCGCCATGTTTTCACTTTCTGATACCTTTAAAAAGCACCTTAATTATACCAGCACATTAATTTCAATAAAGTGGTTTTGTATTTTTTTTATAACGCATTTAAGGGTAAAAATGTTTTTCAAGTTGAATCCACCCCCCCACCCCCCCCCCAATTATAAATAACAATAGCGAAATGATGATGAAGTGGCGTTATGAGAAATCTTATGTTCTTGATGGTTCTTAAAACGCAGACTCCCATTGTAGCTAAATATTGACGTAGTTATTCCAGCAAAAAGGCTGAAATAAACAAATACTACATTTAATAAACAGAAAATTCTTTTTTTTTTTTTAAAATTATCAGTGGTTTCCTCATTATTGTTGAGCTTCTTAAAAAAAACAAGATAAATAAAAATAAGAAAAAGCAAAGCATCGAACAAGTGCATTCATAGCTTAACAACTAAGCCCTCCCCTCTTTACTCAAGTCTGGGCACAGCCTGCATTTTAGACATTGTAGAAGCTTCTGTTTTCAAACATCTTTCTAATTGTTTTAAAGGTTTTCTTGTTTAAAATCAATGCGCAGAGTGAAGATAAGCTGCAGGTGTTATAACTGAAACTAGTACTGCTAACTGGGAGGACTGGCTGCAAGCTGCTGAAAAACCAGTAAAGCTGTCGCTGGTTAGAAAAAAAAAGTTTGTGAAAGTGGCCTGACGTCACACTCCCATAATGCTTACCGCCCCATAACTCCGCTGCAGCCTGAGGAGAGCCAGACACACTCTCAGGCCCCGAATATAGAAAAATTATTGGGAAAAATCGGAAAAAATATCCAAGCAACAGATCGGGAGGAGAAAAGAGCGTGGAGCGGTGGCGTGGGCTCTCCCACAGCGGGTTTTTGGTCCGGTCCGGGATGGGAGGCTACCGGGAGTCCTTGTGAAATTGACTAATGCGATGCTGGAAACTTTCTGGTGGGTAAACTGCTCGTTTTTTTCCTCTAAGCGCTCATATTGTGGCTTCACGTCCTCCCGTCTGCATGTGTGCCTTTGCTACAACTTTCCGAGCCTCGTATCAGCCCTCAGTTGTCTCTAAGTGACACTTGAATTGTTGTGAACGTGTTGTTACCGTCGCACGATCGGACTTTGCGCTATTTTTTCTTTAGTGGCACCGTGTAAGAAGCCTGGGTATTTAATTTATAATTACGCGATCGTCTCTTCTGCCTCGTCTTCTTCCTCAGTTTTTTTTAAACGTTTTCTTGTTTTTGCTCGATGATTATGTTGCAAACGCAATCTGTAAAGTTGTTCCACACGGCGCACTTTGTGCAGCGGCCCCTCGCTGTTGACGTTTGATGTAGTTTTGCAAGTTTTCGGCGATCTTGTGATTTTTAAGCAATTTTCGAACATTCATCAAGTGTGCAGTGCCGCTGCACGGGAGAGGGAGGTCGAGAGAACGTCCTGTTGCGTGTGTTTGTTGACCAGAGGGGAAAAAACAAATTTGCTGAAACGTGCACGGATGTTTATGCCCATCACAGATTCTTTAAATAAGTTTTGCGACCGATATTCAGTCGCCCTCCTTGAACCTTGAAGCCATTGTTGCTGTCTGAATCGAGCCGTCCACTAGGTTGTGGTTTATGTCACAGTTCGGATGTTTTGCTGGGAGAGTGTGCGCTTTTCCTTGAAAGAGGGGGGTAAATAACAACCAAGACCCTGCCAAAGAGCCGGGGTGGTTGGGGTCACAGTGTGGGGGTTCAGTTTGTGCACTTGTTTCTGATTTGGCTGCACGCTTTTTACGTATTTACTGTCATTCAGGAGGGAGGAAATGAGCACAAACAACGGTGGAAGTAACCCTAAAGTAGTCAGCTTTGCAGAGGACTGAACAGAAAGCTGTTTCTCCTATTGGGAGATTGTTGCATTCTGGTGTTTTTCATTTGCATTTCATATTGTTATTGCAGCAATATTACATTTCAAGATTAGCAAACTTTTTCCCTGTTCTGCATAAAGCATGAACTCTGGCTGAACTTTGGGATATTTAAGTTGTTTTCATGACATCACTTATAAACTATAAGCAGACATCCTGTGATTGTACAGGAAAGTGCACATCCACAGTGGGAGATTCCACTACACGCATACACGGTTTTCCATTACCAAGTTATCCATCGTCATTTGAGCACACTAAAAATGACAATATGGAAGTACATCGGCCAACATAAGTATCAGCTGTTGATATATCTGTGTATTGTTGTTGTTTTCCATCATTTGTAGCAGCGTGGAAATGTTCAAAGATACTGTGAGGAAAGGAAAGTACTTTAGGACAGTTAACAAGAACAGAAATGTGGACATTTGTGTCAGCATCTGCTGTTGGCTAGATTGTTATTTTAAACATAGAAATCATTCCAGACATTGATGATCAATGTAACCTAAAAGCAAAAAAACAACAACCAAAAGATCAACTTACTTCCACAAACATAAAGGCTCAAAAATGATTGATTGATTTTTCAGTTAATGTAGGATAAATACCACATGACGTGTCACATTCGTTTTTAGAAGCTATTAGCCATTTTGCGAGTTATTAAGAAAATACATACACTACATATTAGACATGCATAGGTTGTGAAACTCTAGACTGATGCTGATGTTTAAATTAGCAATTCGATTGATAGCTGATATTTTTTCAGTATTTTTATTTTGTTTCTGTTGTTATTTTTGCGACACAAAGTAATCTTATTTGAAAACAAAGCTAATCTCTGTTAGTCTTTCAGCTTTTTATTACACAATATTTGTGCATCTAGTGAGTACAAAAATGATGTGCAATTAAAGATAAATATCAGCGACTGATATCGATAAATCTTGCCTTGTTATCCTGCTGATTTGTGTAGAAAATGATGTGATGAGTCACTTAGTAAGATGTCAATTCATTTATTTTACTGGGATCAATAAAGTTTTCGAACTGAAGATAACTTCTGCCTAATGGTTCAAGGTCAAATTCATATTTTGCTTGCTACTAAATCCACAAACACAATTTCAGTGCATGCAGCTATAAATCAAGTCAAACATTTTGTTATAGTTCATATGAATAATGTGATATAGCTGGACTACCAGTCAGAAAAGTCATACTCACATTTCAGGTATAAAAGGTAGCTAAAAAGGCTAAATTCAGATCAGCATGTAATGAACTTTAGGTAGGTTTTTCCCTTCAACTTCACGCCTACATGTCTGAGCCAAGCATGTACCATCAAGGCCTCCAGCTACATAATAAGGAAATGGAAGTGAGGTTGTCACGAGACAATGCCTTTGCTGGTCGCTCTGCAAGTTGAGACCCATGTGTTGATGTTTGCTGCTCTCTCACTACAAGCGTTCGGCTGACGATGGATCCGCCCCATGGAGCATTAGCCAGATTTCAATTCTCACACGTGGAGCGTTGAAGAAGATGACTGCTTTATTTTTTTACATGCAGTGACATGATATATGAAAACAAAGGTATTTGAATATAATAGTATTTTCCCCCACAAATTCACAGAAGCTCACGCTAATTCCCATCAGTATGTGTGTTTTCAGAATGATTATGTGTACTCTAAAGCACAAAAAACCCTCAAGAAACTCCAAGACTCCAGTACTCCTACTTTATATTTTTTCCTCAGACATAACCATCTAATGATTCATGTTATTCTGCTGCCTGAGCTTTCAGATCTGCTCTGTTCAGTTGAGCACAGTCTTTGCTTGAGTCCACTGAGCCAGCTTCTTCTCATTAACTTCCATGCATTGCCTTACATTACTTCCATGCCCTGTGGTCGAGAGGCAGCACGTTTCATGTTTGCCTTTATGATTGAGCGAACGTGGGTGCCTGTGAGAGCACACACACTTGCCTGTTTGGAAGATGTGTGTGTGTGCAAGTGTGCGTCTGCGCTCCATTTTAGTGTGTGTGAGTGAGAGATTGCTGTTTTTTGAGTCCAAGGGAGGTCTTCTCTTCTGAAAATCCCCCTCACAATTCCTTGCACCTCTTCGGGCAGCAGCGGTGGTGGCAGCAGAGGTGGTGGCGGCAGCGACGGCGGTGGCAGCAGCAGCAACAGCAGGCTGATTACCATGAGAAAAGAGCATCAGTTGGGTTAATGGGAGGGACAGCCCTCTGAGGGGACAAATGGTAGTTAATAACCAGGGAAGAATCGGAAAAGCTCTGATCCCTTGCTTTGTACTTTTTCACCTTCTAGAGGCACGGATGGGATGGGGTTGGAGGGGGTGGGTGAGGGAGAAAGGGACACTGGGTTCATGGTAGAATGGATGCTGCTTGCTGACAGGCTGTAGGAAAACTGTACTATGTGTTACTTTCTCAGGAGTGGCACTGGGAACCTGAGAACTGCAACAGAATACAGGGCATTGCCAGAGCTGTTAAGTGTGTGCATGTGTAAACACTGGGCAGCGTCCGTACAAGAGTGTGTGGACGTAAGTACATTTGGTGTCATGGGATCAATGTACAGGTTTTTACTGAAAACAAGTAATACTTTACACATTATTTGATACTTTTCCTAAAAGTAATGCAATTTGTTTCTTAATGACCTGCCGGAGAATGTAATTCGTTACCCTATTTGATACATTACTTTTGTGTTACTCTGTAAAATGACCTTAAACACATTATCGTATAATTATCTATATAAACCATAGGCTATTATTATAATCCATATCTTTTAGTTTTAAAATTGAGATCAAAGAGGCTTCACAGTGATGCAACTGCAGAAACACGAACAGGTAGAAATGAAGGCTACAATGGTGCAAGCCTGACTGCTCATCACTGTTTTTGTTACCTGTTGAAAATCAAGCTCTGGCTGCAGGACTAGAGTCAGCAAGCCCTCAGCTTTAAAATAATTCTGGGCTCTTGGCTAGCTTTCTGTTAGTATGCTGTCTGTGCAGATGTTTGCAAAGAGTCCACCTTGTGTTAGCACAGTGCGGTTGTATTTGTCTTGATACAGTTTGCATTTCACCATCGTGCTTTTGTCCTTTTATGGAATAAAAGTAAAATTAATGTCCATATTTCTACTGCCTAAAAGCTCCACACCACATTTTTCCTCTTTTCTTCATATAGACAGAAATCAGCTAATAGTAGGGCAAGTGCACAGGAAAAAAGAAAACATGTTAACTTGATGCTTTTTTCTTTCTGTCTGCCTGGTGTGCAAACAACTAAAGAATCTTTGTAAAACAATGTCACAACATAATTGTAACTAACATGTCACTGTGTTACTGAAAAATTTAATGTGATTACAGAAACACATTACACTGAACACTGCATGGGACTAGCAGGTAAACAGATATTTCATTTAATTTATTTGCAATATGTGAGGCTTCACACATTAGCTGCTCCGCTTTCAGGCTATTGTGTGAGAGAGGGCTGAGAGCTGTATGTTGGGTGTGAAAGCAGAAAGAAGTTATGAATTCTGAGAAAGACTGAACAAGGGAGCAAGAAATAGAAAAGCAAAAGGATAAATCTGTAGCTCAGAATGTGGGTCTGATATTGAGTGGTAATGTGGTCAAAGAAAAAAAAAAAAAATCAGCAGTAATTTGTTTTTCCTACCAAGAGCTACAAACTGCCATACTACTAAATGTTATGAAATACTTATAAATGTCAAGACTGGAAAAAATACTGGCTAATACTTTGATTAAAATAAGTGAATATTTTCAAAAGCTTAATTTTATTCTTGATGATTTTCACTGGTTTTAATCACAATTTTTTCCAGTATTAGACTGTATTTATTTTATTTAGGAAAATTGGGTGTGCAACTTCTTTATTACCGTTATTATGAAATTAGTAATTTTTTTTGCTAAATTAATAAAAGCAGCTTTGTAGAATCCAAAAAGTTTAGCTTTATTGTCCCATGAAGCCTGACAATCAAGTCTAACTTGTAGTCTGAAGTCCAAGTATTACATACTCAATGGCTACATCTGAAACTAATAAATATATGTACAATATATAATAGTATATGCAT